CCTATATTGGGGCAGAGACTGGGTAGGATATTCTTTTGAGTATCTTTTTCTTGGTTTATATAGCTAATTCTGTTCTGACAAGTGTTTTTGCCTATTTTTCTACATGGTTGTATTTTTCTCATTCACTTTAGTTTTGTTCTGTTAGTTGAATGGTTGCCAGGTGTTATCAGTTATAAATACTGTCTTCATTTTAGCCTTGAATTTTCACTCCGTCCATAGGGATTTTCATAATACTTAAGCTTATCTCAATAGGGTCAAATTTACAAAACTGTGGTACAGATTGCTATTCTTGCATCTTAAGAAAGTCTTCCTTATTTTGAGTTCGTTAGGATTTAATCCTAGATCTTTTCTTTAAGTTTTTCCTTTCACATTTAGCTGCTCTTTAACCCATTGGAATTACTTTTGTGAGTGGTGTGACGTAGGAATCTTTTTTTTTTTCCTTTGGTCCCACATGAGTAACCAGTGGCCCTGGACCCATTTATTCAAGAGGCCATCCTTCCCAGTGATATAGAATGACATCTCTATCCTATACTAGATTCCACTAATGTCTGGAGAGCTTCCAGCTTGCTCATATGTTCTACTGATATGTATATGGCCAATAGCACCGTGTTTTAATTGTACTGCATTAAGTCTTGATATGTCTAGAGTGACTTCCTCAAACACCTCGACTTAGTAATGCTTAGCTCTTTAAGTATTGCTCATAGATTTTAGGAATGGCAGGTCATTTTTCACAATAAACCCACTGAGAATTTGACTGGAATGACACTGAATCTATAAGCATATTAAGGATGAAATGCTATCTTTTAGAGCCTGCCCGTTCATTTAAAATAAAATTGCTTATTTTGAGAGTCTCATTTTGTAGCCTTCAAAAGCATCATGTTTTCCGTAAGGTTTGAAATAGTTTATTAGTTTCATTTTTGGTGTTTTGGTGCATTTCCTGCTTTTGTTGCTACTGTCGATGAGATTTTTAAAAAAACTGGATGGTCTAGCTGGGTGGTTGCTGATTTGCAGTGATATATACTGATCTTGTGAGCAGTACCTTTTCTGAACTTTTTACCAGTTCTAAAAGTTTACCTATTCTTTCATACTTTCTACATACACAACCACATTGTTTGTAAGCAACCACAATTTTATTCACTCTTTCCTTGTAAGATATTATTGCTTAATTTCATACTTCTATTTTTTTTTCTCATCATGCTACTTAAGTCATCATGCCCTCTTATGGTCTGGTGATATATAAATTGGTGATAGTGTGCACTGTTGTCTTGTTCATAACTTTAAATCATCAGGATGTGATATTTTTGGTAGTGGCAGTGCTCATTTACATTTAATTTGATAAATATTTTTTATTATAAATGTGTCAGCTTTTGTAGAATTTTTCTCTATCAAGATGATATGTTTCTTTTCTTTTTTGGCAATGTGGAAAATCATAGAGGTTTTTCAACTGTGGAATCATCCATGCCTCACTGTCATTATTTACCATGTTTTTATACTCACTATATTCAACTTGCTAATACATATTTAGGATTTTTTGCACCTATGTCTGTAAGTAAAACTGGTTTGTAACTTTTTTCTTTTGCTTTTTTGGTCTGGTTTTGATATAAAGATTATACCAATATTTCTCTTTTCTATTCTTTCGAATAGAAAAGACAGAAATTGTCTGTTGCTTTACGGTTATATGAAGTTTATCTATAAAACCATTTGTGATTAATAATTTAAAGATTTATAAGTTAGACTACCCATAAGTTATTCACATTATTAATGGTTAGATTAACTATTAGATTTATGGATTACATCATCTAATTTGAATAAAGAAACTCACAAAATGAACAATGGTCTTAAGTGAGTACTGTTAAGACATTATAAGTGAGTATACTATGGAAGATATCAGCACTAACAAATAAACAAAGGCAGAACATTGCCTCAGCTAGTATAAGCACTTTAATGATTATAGGTAAGAACAGTATAATCAGGGCAAAAATTTTAAATCTTTTTTTAAAGAAGATTTTATTTATTTGAGAGTGAGAGAGAGCATGTGCGCACAGATGAGGGAGGAGCAGACTCCTGACTTGGGAGCTCGATCCCAGGACCCCAAGATGACGACCTGAGGTGAAGGCAGATGTTTAACTGACTGAGCCCCCTTGTGCCCCCCCACTAAATTTTGATTCTTAAAAAAAAAAAAAAAAAGCATTTGAGGGGCTCCTGGATGGCTCAGTCAGTTAAGCATCTGCCTTCAGCTCAGATCATGATCCTAGGATCCTGGGATCCAACCCCACATCAGGCTCCCTGTTCAGTTGGGGAGCCAGCTTCTTCCTCTCGCTCTGCCCCTCCCTCCTGCTCATGCTGTCTCTCACTTTATCTCAATAAAATCTTTAAAAAGAAAAAAAAAAGAAAACCATCTGAAATGTGGATTTATACCTTCTATCATTATTAATAAAATTCTCTCAAAGTTTATAGTGTGTGATAAGATACTAGCAGTGAAGTTGTGATTAGCAAGACACTTAAAAATTGTTTATAACATTTTTATTTTAACCTTAAAAATTTTAAACTTTTTTTTTAATTTTTATTTCTTTATGATAGTCACACACACACACACAGAGAGAGAGAGAGAGAGAGAGAGAGAGAGAGAGAGAGAGGCAGAGACACAGGCAGAGGGAGAAGCAGGCTCCATGCACCGGGAGCCCGACGTGGGATTCGATCCCGGGTCTCCAGGATCGCGCCCTGGGCCAAAGGCAGGCGCCAAACTGCTGCGCCACCCAGGGATCCCACCTTAAAAACTTTAATTTATGGAAACATTAGTACAGATATTGGCATGTATACATACACACACACATGCATCAAAGGATACATGCTCTATTTTTTTTTTTTTTAAGATTTGGTGTACAAGTGTGCAAACTTAAAACCTACCAATTTATACCAGAGCAGTAGGCTTTATAAAAAAAAAACAAAACAAAACAAAAAAAACACCTAATTTTATTACTCTCTGCTTGAAGCAATCTAGGAGTTTTCTGTGGCTATAAGAAAGTCAAAATCTTCAATATTTCCTGTGTAGTTGTCTTATAATCTGGTCTCTATTTTTTTTGGCTTAATCTATTAACATTCTCTCCCTTGCTCTCTACACTATAAGCCACACTAGACTGATTCCTATAATCGTGTAAGATAAGAAGTAATCCCCCAAAATCAAGATTTAAGGTATAGATTGATATCTACTATTGTTACTCTTTTAATCTTCAGATGAAAAGTTTGTTCACAAAAAACAACAAAAAGTTTGTTCACATACATATCTGTGCACTTTGCAGAGAATATCACAGTAATTTAAATAATTTACATTACTTGTTTTCCACATATACGTGGGTCTGCTGTATCATTTACATTCATAGAATCACAGAATTTAAGGACTGGAAATTTACTTTTAAAATGTCATTTATTCCAACCACTCGTCTGATGCTTTTGAATACCTCTAATGACAAGGCAACCATTTTCCACTTGGAGAAATGTGTGATGCTTAAAAAACATTCTTTTTCATATGACCTGAAATCTGTTTTCCTCTAATTTCTAGATCCTAATTCTAGTCACTGGGCTATTCAAAGAAAGTTCTGCCGCATTTAGTGTAATGACCACACAGATACTTGATGGTCAGTATAATGTTACCGTAAGACTTTCTTCTGTGATAGTAAGGAAAAGGAGAAACACAGTATGGAGCCTAGTGTTTGACTATCTTTTATGAGTTGCTTACTTCATATTTAATCTTCACATTGCTTTAATGAATTTGCTATTATTATTAATGCCAAATAATAAATGAGGAAACTTAAAGCTCCCACAGGTAAAGTTACTTGTTCGAGTAATTAAGTAGCAGAGCTGGTCAACCACAAGTCTGTCAGGTACTAAAGAAAGCCTATGTTTTAGTCTCATTAGGACACTGACCTGCCTTCGACAAAGAGCTCTAAGAGGGTATGAAACATGGAAAACAAAACAAAACAACAACCAAGCAAAATTCTAAAAATTCTATGCTAACTTCCAAAATTCTATGTGTTGATATATTTTTTCCTCAAGCCTTATATTGTAGTCATCTTTGACATTTCTGTCTTATAAACTGTCTATTATTATCTTAATATTTCTCAGATCTTTCTACATAAGTAAACTCCCACGACCTAAAATTAGGGAAGCAAAAAGAGAAAATCATTCCCCTATTTCATTCCCTCTCAATTTTAATGTCATACAACGAAAAGACCATCTTCTTTAAACATTAACTAGGTACTCCTCTTTAGAGCCCAAACACACTTTGGGCTTCTATAATCAAACCTAATGCTGGTATTTTCCTGGCTTCCAGGACTGACAACACTATTCCTAACTTGTGCTAACAAAAGATACCTGCTCTCCCTTCTCCAGGCAAACACTTATTTGGCATCCTCCACAAGCACTTAAAAGGCCCTTCCTTCCTTTCCTCTGAGAATCATGACTCTTCTTCAATTAACTATTAGATCAGTCCAACACAGACTGCATCATTTAGGCTTCTTATGAAAAATGTATCTCTATATTCTTAGTTGCATGATTATATTTATCACATATATTAACTTTTCTTTTTCTCCATTATTTCCCCATAAATAATTGAAGAAAAATCACCTATTTTTTTTTATTTTTCATCTAAGTATAAAAAACTGAACAGCAAGTGCTTAATGTTCTCAGCTGTATGTTTTAAAAACAATTTCTCATTAAATACATCTCTTTATTTGTATTCTTTGTTTTTAAGCTGCTTGTTAGGATTTTCTCACCATATATTTAATTGTGAAAAGAGACCAAGAGCAACTCAAATTCTTTTTCAAAAACAAAGTAAAGAACAATACAAAATTCAGCGCTTCTCTCTAGTTCATCCCATAGGCTAGCTAATTGCAAGTAATATTACTTCTAAAATAAATTTCTTTATGAATGTAAGGTTTTATGTATATTAAATACTAAAACATAAAATTATGAATTACACACACATGTACACAAAATCTTACCTTGCTGAGTATTTTGTTCTTGCATTCGATTCACAGTGAGGTCTAAGGGGCCTTCCTGCTCTTCCTGAAGCGAGTTTTCTGCTTGATTCATTTGGATACTTTTACATATTAGACTTGGTCCAATTGAACCATTTCTATTTTCTTGAATTTTACCACTTTTTGAAATATACTCAATTGCAAACTGACGTATCATCTTTTTCATTAATTCCTGAGCAACTAAGGGAATGTTAGGATCACAGTTCTGAGGAAGATCTAGGGAAGAAATAAATATGATAGGCATTAAAAAAGAGAAATGCAAAATACCAATACTTACACTTATTTTTATTAAAAATTAATGGATTCAGAAGTCTTCAGTTCAGTCCACATTGCTAATGGTTTCTAGGACTTAGCAGTAGAAACCTTGTAGATTTAATTAGTATTACATCAATCCAAACTTGGCATATTTAATCATTCCTTATAAACATTTTCCAGGGTGCTCGGGTGCTCAGTTGGTTGAGCGTCCCGCTCTTGGTTTTGGCTCAGGTCATGATCTCAGGGTTGTGAGATGGACCCCCAAGAAGTACTCTGTGCTACATGCATAGTCTGCTTGAAATTCTCCCTCTCCCTCCCATCACATGCACCTGTGTTCTTAAATAAATAAATAAATAAATAAAAAATCTTCAAATAACAACAACAAAAAACCAAACATCTTCAGTCCCAAACTAAAATACAAAGAATTAGACACAGAAGTGGAACAGCTTATTTTCAGAGTTTTAATTCAAATGCGTTCTACTAGATATTGAAACACTTAGAATGCAAACAAATTATAACTAAGCAATTTCTAATATACAAGTAAATGTATACATTAACTATTTAACAAAACATCTACACTCTTATACTTATTACCATTAAATTCTTCAATTCTGTCAAATGTGTATTCCATAAATAACCTGAATGTCATCATCAAAAATTTTCCTTTCTTCAACTTATATGGAAAAATTTCAATCATAAAGAAAAAATAAAGAAATATACAGTGATACAGGCAGCCTCTACCAAGATTCAAGAATTGTTAGTATCCTTCCACATTCACTTTTTTTTTTAAATTTTTATTTACTTATGATAGTCACACAGAGAGAGAGAGAGAGAGAGAGGCAGAGATATAGGCAGAGGGAGAAGCAGGGTCCATGCACCGGGAGCCCGATGTGGGATTCAATCCCGAGTCTCCAGGATCGCGCCCTGGGCCAAAGGCAGGCGCCAAACTGCCGCGCCACCCAGGGATCCCCCACATTCACTTTTAAAACTTTTTTTGTTTGCAGAACCACTGAAAGTATATTGTAGAATTATGACATTTCACTACTAAATATTTCAGTATGCATCTACTGAGACCCTCCTATAAAAATGGCAATACAATTATTGAGGGTCTTAATCCTTGACCCCAAAACATATAGATCAGCTACAACTACAATAAAGATCAGAAGTGATACACAATTTTGTTTGAAACTTGTCCAGGATATAAAATACCTGAATGATTTTATATAAGTATGGAATGAGGACAGACAACTTGTAAACACAGTATATAACAGTGATAAGAAGTTTTGGTATTAGGGAGGGTGGGTGGTGGTAATTTTTTCACCCATACTTCTGGCCTCACCCCAATCCTTTTGTTTTGTTCCGTCAGAGGCAGAACTATTGATAACTTGGGAAAGATGACTATGCAAACATGACTAGGCTCCACAGTTTTTCCTCACAGAAGTTAACCTAGAGATACTACTTTGCTCCTTAAAAACCTCAACTCTTACCAAGGCCTATCAGTGATATATATAGGCCTGCTGTGATCCAGGGCTGTCTGAGACTGGAGGATTGAGTCTCTTTTGTTTTGGGTTTAAATATTAGCTGGAGCACATGTCTTAGAAATCTGAGGGCAAGTTCCCCAACTAACATCTACAGTTATAGATACAAGACTCTAAAATGCAAGATGGTTTGAGAATATATGATATTTGGAAGTGAGGAGAGGCAACAAACTACTTCCACCTTGACCACTACCAAATTTGGTAACAAAACGTGATCTAGGCTGAGATGAATCTATTTATTTATGGTCTTGCAGAAGTATCAATATATTTGATTACAGGGCGTTGTTTTGGAGATGTCACATAGCAAACATAACATCTGAGAGAAGGAACTGTGGGCCAATATAAAAGTAACACTTTAGCCTTTACATTTACTCTTCTTCATTTAGAGCCCAGGAGGGAAGAGAGGCACTACTGTCTTTAGGTACTGGAAAAAAAAAGACTTAACTACAGGTTTGAATCTTAGTCATCTTTAAGAGCTTAGGGTAGTTACATATCCCCTCTAGGTTTTAGTTTTTCCGTTCAAAAAAATGGAAATGATAACCGAACTTCTGAAATCATAATAGGGGCTTGATCACAGGATATTTTAAGGTTATGTAAGATTGTAGGTAAAATACTGCAATTCCTATACTTGGCATTTTAACAGTCTAGTAAACATTAGCCATTAAGATACAGACTGAACACTTATATTTTATTTAAGTCACAAAACGGCAAATAAGTAAAAATATTAACTAGGTTAATATTAAATTATTAGCTGACTGGGAAAATACAAAAGACCTAACCTCTAAGTACATGCGATACTTTTTGGTCCAGAATAGACAGTATTAGCACATGTACCCTAAATGACATAGCTTACCAAAACAAGAAATTTCCAAGTTGTACATAAACTCTCAATTTATATCATTTTTAAATTATTACCTCCAAGCATCTTTGAAGGCTTCTTGTGAATATTCTGCTCCAGCTTTTTCCAAGCCTGATTTTCCTTGGTATTATGTGTTAATAGGAGATATTAAATTTACTTCTTGGTATTTTGTTTAACTGTCTGAAAATTTATTGACAAATGTCACCTTATTTATATATTAAAAAATTAAATTTACCAAAAAAAAAAAAAGAATAGAAACATTTGGATTTATATCAACTGACTGGGGTTATAATTTTAGGGTTTGAGTTAAAGCTAAGTTTAAAGCTGAATACATTGTGCTACTCAATTTTTTTTTCATGTACTCAGTTTTTGGTCTTTTATATTGGGTAATACATGTGTATTTGAGAAAAGAGAAAGACAGTGACAAAGGAAATGCTGATTAGCGAGGGAGCCTTTTAGGTTATGTGTACAAGCTGTTATAACTATAAAAAAGCAAATGAGTTAACTAGAGATATGGACCAGGAATTGTAATGTTTCCAAAGGTCAGGGAAGCAATAAATATTTGGCTGGAAGAGAGAATGCTGCCACATAGAAATAGTGTCCATTGTCCCCAAGAAGACAAAAATAACTTGTTTTTTGCCCTCTTAATTCTTTAAATTTAACTAATTCAAATGTTTAACAAGCTTTTGTAACAGCCAGTTTCAGGATAGTTCTCAATGATTCCAACCTCCTGGCTTCAGTCTGTTGTGTAGCCCCTTCCATGTTGCACTGGTTGGTGGTATGGGTGATTTAGAGCATTCTAAAGAAGCGTGTCACTTCCAAGATAAGTTATAGAATTCAGTTTCTATCTTGGATACTCTTGAATGTTAGTGTTTGCTGTCACCCCCTCCCCCATCCTCTATCACTCACTCTGGAGGTGTACTGTTAAAAGCTCTTTGGGGAGGCTCACATGGAGAAGAACTAAAGTCCCCTGCAAACAACCAGTGAGTGAACTTGAAAGAAGATATTCCAAATCAATGAAATCCCAGATGATCATAATCCCAGCTGATCCCTTGACTGCAGCCAAACATCCAAGTGTGCTAGTATAACATTCATAGGCTCAGATAAAAAGTGAGACAATAAATGTTTATTTTAAACTGCTAAATTTTGGGGATAATTTGCTAAATAATAATGATAATAAATTAAAAATTTTGGTACATGTTGGTGGGATGTTGCTGTAATAAAAATCTGAAATTGTGATTTGGCTTTAGAACCAGGCAGAGATGAGCACTGGGTATTATACATATTGGCAAACTGAATTTAAATAAATGAATAAATAAATATTCTAGTTCTAAAATAATTTTTTTGCTAATTAAAAATAAAAAGAGTTGTTATATTGAAAAAAACCCCAAAATAACCAAGCAGTGGGCTCTGGGGGTGAATTAACATTGTAAGACAAAAAGAACTTTGAAGAAGTTGTTAATAGGAACCTTGTGGTCTTTGATAAGATGTGTAGGGCGAAGATTTGTAGGACAGTAAGATAAATGTTATTGGAAAGTAGAGGAAAGAATATACTTATAGTGGTAGAAAGTTTTATAATAACCACTGTTTGCAATAACTTGGAAAGTAGAAAATGTGCCTAATAAATTGGGTGATTTATCTAGAGAAATTTCTAAGCAAAGTGTTGAGATGCCCTCCAGTTTCTTCTTGTAATTATAGTAAAATGTAGGAAGGGAGATATACTAAAGGAAGAGCTGTTAAATAAAAAGAAACCAGAACTTGATTATTTTGAAAAATTTCAGATATACAGATAGCAAATGAGGCTAAAATTAAGAAAGGCTGAGCTAAGACCAAATCAGGGGAACAACCAGGAAAACAGCTTCAAAAAGGTGATGGTTTTTTTCTCCAGAGTTATGGAGAATATGTTGTGGGACCTATGTGAATTTTAAATTTTAATTTTTTGCGTGTGGGGTGTCATTCCTTTATTTTTTTATTTTTTATTTTTTGTTGTCATTCCTTTAAACAAAAGAACACTGGAGTTAACCAAATCTTTACAGGAAGTATCCATTCAAGAACAATGGCTAAATTTCCTTAAGAATAGTAAACTGTATAGTGTTTTAAATTGCTTTATTCCCATCCTCCCTCACTACTTTTGAGGAAGCCTTCCCAAGGCAAACCCCAACAATGTTAGGGTTCTAGATATTTAAGGAAATCTCTGTCCATTCAGTAGTTTACCACTAAGCTAACTAAGCAGAGATGTTAATAGCTACACAATACAAAGAATACTGACTTCATGGAATTACATCAGAAAAGTCATTAAACAAACAAACAACATAGCAACAACAAATAGTAACAACAAAACCTGAGGTGGGGGGTAATCTGATTTCTACCAGTGTCACACTGTATTATTTAAAATATCCAGTCTTTTAAAACATCACAAGAAATGAAAAAAAAATAAGAATGTATGGCACATATACAGGAAGAAAAAAGTCAACAGATAATGTCTCTGAAGAGGCTCAGATATTGAATTTCCCAGATAAAAACTTTAATCAGACATTTTAAATATGTTCAAAGAGCTAAAGGAA